CTTTGTTCTTATATCGCCTTTGATACAATATATACTTGATATTGTATTAAAGCCATCCAATCATTGTTATGATACAATAGAAGTCTCAAGATAGCAAATTAAGCAGTATCCTCTCCAGTTCTCGTCTATGACATATTTGGAAAATCCAATATCCTCCCATCATTACTCACTACACATATATAATGATCATAAAACCCGAGTACACTTATAATTGGTTTTACTTCGGAAAAACAAATCAATTCAAGGTATTCCTCACATGTAAAACCATTATTATTCAGTATAAACTTTTGATAAAAAAATATTCACGTCCAGAGTCGTGCCAGTGTGATCCAGGGTTGATAATTTTGTCGATTTGTCACTGGGCTCGAGCTTGAACCAGACGGTAGGTTAATCAGGCGTGAACTGATAAAACTGTTCCGTCAACCGATCTCAAAACGAAATATAACACGTGCACGACATTTTTCAGCTCTATTGTGACCTATAAAGGGGAATATTGAAAGTAATAGGTTAATAAAATAAAATATTTTTTATTTAAAAAAAACTTATTTACGAGCTCTTTTAAACATTCATTTTTTATGATTCTACTGCTAAGTTTGGAATGTTGTTACCTGTTGAGAATAACCAGCAAGAAACTCCACTATTATTTTTTTTAATTTACTTACGTACAAGATAATATTAGATACATTTGTATGGGCATAGTAATTATAATTAGCGTTAAATTCTATTCATATTTATAACTCAATGTAAAATTACACAATCAGTTATAAACAATAAACATAAGCAGATCAGTAGCTACAAGCAGCACTCTTTCACGAGTATGACGGATAAACCAGTCAAAAATGCGCGCAATTATATTTTAGGGAACTCAGTGACTAGGCCCACCACAAATATACCACTTTATAGTAAACATGATTTGCTCTAAGTATTTACAATTTACATCAATTATCCATCCATTATAAGATTTGAATTGCCATTTACAGTCAGATATTTATATCATAACAAGTTTTACTAAGTTTATGTAAATGCGAGTTAGTTATTGAGCTTATATGTCAAATTAAGTTTGTATCCATTATATAAAATAGTTATATTAACTATTTATTATATAGGCTATATGGTGGCCCACCTATAGGTGCTGATATTGTTTTGGTCTTGTGATGCATCATGGCGGCGCGCCACCGCGATCAATTATTATATATTTATATTCCTTATTGCACAAAATATTTTATTCAGTCAAAAAGCTAATAATAATATACCAATTGAAGATAAAAGTAAAGTGAAAGGTCGTTACAACACAAACTACTTGAATTTTACGAAAGTCGCTCAAATGACATAGATCAAAGATATGACCAATCGTGGAAGACATATCATCAAACATTGACGTTTAAACAATATAGTCAGTTGTATCTGGCTATGTCATGAAATACAACCATTTTATGAATGGAAAACTTTTCGGAAACTTATTACTCACATTGCTTGGGTGCGTGGTACACTACCATTGACCATGCATCCTGTTCATTCCTTCCTCGTAAATCTGTGTTGTGGAATGCTTCCTTCTTTTCTTTTCCTCTTATAATATACGCGGCATTTGTCATTTTCCATCAGGTAGTCTGTCTGCTCGTTTGCCTTCCCAATAATAAAAAAAAAAAAATTTCTAACGGGATTAGTATCCATGTAAGAAAAAATTTTACTTAGTATTAATATATATTAATTAATAATATTTATAGAATATTATAAATATTATTAATGTAAATTTATTTTAAACTTATAACCAAGGCTTTAATGTGAAATTTTGTGAAAATCCATGTTCCAATCTTCTTGTTTATTATAAGACCCTGTTATATCCAAGAAATACTTCAGTTCAGTTAACTGTCTATGTGAAACGATAGATAATGTCCGTTGTTAGTCTTTTCATTTCCGGGGACGGATGTTATTTCAACTTAGCGAAGTTCAAGTCAAATATATTTTACCATCTACCATTTAATTCAGAATTGTTTAGTAAACAATAACTGGCATGGTGTATTGTGATATTATTAAAAAAAAAAGAAACACAATCATGGCAGGTTTTTTGGGATAAAAATAAAATCACATTTCATTGTGTCTATGACTCTTGCATCAGGTTCGAAATATCAATGCGTTGCAAACAAATAAATGTGATCGTGGTAACAGTCCATTAATCGCGTGTATAGTCAAAACAAACGCTAAAATATAGAAAGTTTTATAATTGACGTTAATGCTGCAACGCCTCAATACACTACCTTATTATCCGATGGTCGCGGGTTCAATTCTCGCACAATACAAACATTTGTATACATGAGTACATCTGTTTCTATTGGACTGGGTATTTTCTATTTATAATATAGGTATGTATTAAAAATATATTTAAGTAGGACGACCTCCATGTAGTCTCCTTTGTGAATCATCATGGTTATTTAATAGTCATTATTTTTAGGGTTCCGTGCCGTAACGCTATCAAACGATATGGCCGTTTATTGATGTATATATGGAACATTTTGCTTATTTTGACATTCGCAAAGAGAACCGAAGTCTATAAAGTAAATTTCGTTGACTTAGAATCATGAAATTTGGCAAGAAGCAATGTCATATAGCACAAGTAAAGGGAAAATCTGAAAACTGTAAATTACATATTTATTTTACAAAAAAAAAACAACTTTTTTAAACTTGATGATTTTGTACGGAAATTTGTTGCGCTAGTCCGACTCGTACTTGACCGGCTTTTTTAATATAAGCTAATTGATCTGACTTCATTCTTACTTGTTTTTCTTCATTGGTATCCTGCCACTGCAAAAAGGAAACGTAAATTCCATTTATTTCTGTAAAACATGAATAATTCGTAACGATTGCGAAAGCCGCCGTTGTGGTCTTGGCTATAGAAAGGGCTACTACTTCCTTTCCCGTGGGTGTTGTAAGGCGACTAAGGGAACTTAAAGGTTGGGGGAGGGCAGCGGCGTTCCCTTTAACACATCATCAAAGCGTAACTGCAGTTGCCAATCCATCTGCCAAGCGTGGCAACTATTGGCAAAGCCCCTTAATAGGGGTAGGCCTATGTTCAGCAGTGGACAATTAAAGGCTGATATAATGATACTGATGATTGCTGAAAGTATTACCAAGATCGGTACAGAATTGGCAATATATAAAAAATTCTGCTATTTTCGAAGTCGATTAAAAATAAATCTTTTATTCGGTAGCAATATTGATTGTTCTGTCAAAACAAGTCACTCTTGTATAGACGTACTCAGGGAAAATTGACTTGACACGTTGTCGTCCATGACTGCGGCCTCTTGTGATGTAATTGAATAACTGTCATCGTCTTATTCATAGCCCTAATGAAGTATCTGCAAGAAAGAAAAAAAAAACATTTAACGTTATGCACTATTATACTAAATTTTGTATTCATAAAATTTGGAGATCAACATTTAAAAAATAGCACTCATTTTAGTATTTACGAGTGAAAAAAAAAGACTACACAGAAACAAAAGACCAAAAACTTATAAAATAACTTTAATATTAGAAAGATACAATTTTAATTCTAATTACAAATTACAAAATATCGATGGGTCAAAGTAGGAATCAAAAGAGACGCCGCGAATAATTGGAGCTTACGTTAAAATTCACCGACGCGTTGTGCTGACTAGGCGTCACGTGCAGGTGGTATTATGCGCCGTGTGGGGGCCGTTGCTTGTGCAGCGCTTTCCGTGAATTATGCTTTCGTACCAAGTGCTTATTGGTGGGATTTGACAAAACGAATATTTAGCGGCGCTTATGGATCTTTTAAAAATATTAAATTGAATGTTACATTTCACCTCAGGAATGGCAACGCATGGGGGTATCATGGGCGAAACAGTATACTCTGTTATGTCTATGGTACTGCTCATGTATATAGGCGACGGTTACCACTTTCCATCAGGTGGGCCGTCAGCTTTTTTGCCATTCTAAGTTGTATATAAAAAAAAAAAAAAAACCTCAAAATATTTTTGCAGGTTCAGCAGGATGCCAAGATTCGCTGTCCAGATCATATTTGATGTAAAGTGACAGGAGTACTTCCGTATACTCCCGTTTAAAGATTAATTAGTAGTTTAATAATGGTTTTAAGTAGCTTAATGTTGATATAGAAACCATAGAATTCGTTTAATGTAGCGATAGTGAACTATAAAGATGAAATCTATATAATTAATATCATTTTAAGGAAATGTTCTACAAGTGAAATTTAATTTTTTCCTAAAAGAAACATAGGTTAAAATTCAATAAAAAAAGTTTGAGCGTTTCATACTAATTTGACAGCTTGATGTGCCGTAGTGGCACAAGAACGTCAAAACTTTTTTTTCGTATTTCGACCGATGTTTCTGTTGATAAGATATATTACTGATCGGGCACTACTTTTAAAGTATGCTACTGATTGAAGAGTCGACTTTAATTATGTATAAAAATACACTAAGTTTTATGAATAATTAAAGTTAACTTAATAATGTTGAAGTAATACTTGAATTTTAATATAACTTTATTGGTATAGCCACAAAACTCTTTAATTGCCTACAGTGCGGTTTCAAAGGAATTTTATCCCGCAAACGCTCAGCCTGTGGAATGAGCCCACTGCCAAAGTTTTCCCTAAAGAGTACAGTATAGGGTACTTCAAACAGAGTATATTAAGGTTTCTTCAGGGTCGACAATGCACACGTAACACAGTGTTGCAGATGTCCATAGGTTACAGTGACCGTTTACCATCAGACGGGCTGTATGCTTGTTTACCACCTGTATGGTATAAAATAATTTGGCATTTCTCGTTCATAGTTACATTGCAAAACTTTAGTGTGTAATGAAAATTTACGGTTCATACATTCTTTCAAGAGGTCACTACATTCATTACCTTATTAGGTATATATATATATATATATATATATATATATATATATATATATATATATATATATATATATATATATATATATAGGTATTTAAACGTTTAAAATAATACATACTTTATTTCAACGATGTATTGTATTATACCTACACAAAGAAGGTATTATCAATATAAATTTAATACCAGATTATTAGTTTTTAAGTTAATGGAATATATAAATTATTGAATCCTCTTGTTTCGTGCATTTTTTTGGCGACAACTCGCGTATCCCGTTTCTGTGGAAAATATCAAAAAAATCATCAGTGTTTACTTTACTTTTACGTTAACCGTATAAAGAATTTTTGGGCAAAATTTCATCGTCCTAGACCAATAGTGAATAGTTATTCTTATAGCCAGTCTAGGACTCAATAGCTTTGATCGTTTATTGAATAGTCAGAATAAAGGAAAACAATTTACTAAATGCTTTTCAATTTTAGGTTTAATTTTTTGTCCATCAACAGGACAAAAAAAATTATTGGATTCAGTAGAATAGCATAATAAGTAGATGATATAATAACATATATAGTAAAAAACTTAGTATTCAAAATTAAGAAGACAAATTTACCTTATGAAATATATTAAAGGTCAATGGGTCCTTGGTTCAGCTCAAGATGCGAGATATACCTGCTACAACTTTGCTTTTAAGTCGGCTTATTGTTCGCATTAAGTCTGCTAGGTCTGTATCAATAATTCAGTATCCTTAATAAGGTTGATGTAATGTTGATGCAGGAGTGAGTCGATTCTAAATTAATAAACAGAATAATTTATCAAATGGACAAAAATATATTACAATAGAAGAGTATAATTTTAATTTTAAAATTAGACCAACAAAACTATTTAAATAATAAATGTTAATATTGCTAACAAAGATAAGGGGGGAAAATATTTATATATGTATATATATACTTTTTTATGCAACCTAGAATGACAAACATGCTGATAGCCCACCTGATGGAAAATTATAGTCGTCACCTATCGACATAAACAGTACCATGGACATAACGGAGTATACTGTTTCGCCCATGAAACCCCGCATGCGTTGGCATTTCTGAGGACTAAGATGTTATACCTCTGTACTCTGTAAACATACTACTATATCTCACCATTCAAACCGAAACAACCATGCAAACACAACTGTTTCATGGTGGAAACACAAATGGGTAGAGGTACCCTAGGAAACGTCTTTTGTACAAAGTCTCCCTCTGGTGAAATTATATATACACATATAATTTTAAATAACTCCCATTTCGATATTTCTTTTTTAGAAATATATATGAGGGGCCTTTGTAAGAGCTATAGAAGGAAAAGCAATAATTTTTAAGTTTTTTGTTTGTCTTTTTACAAAGACGTGTATATGTTTAGTGTGGCTTCACGCAATAATTGTTGCATCAAATTGGATGCCATCTAATCTAACTTCAAACCTAGTGTATTCCAAATTACAAGTATACGAGTTCAGAGGGCAAAAACTACTCTTCAGCTATTATAGTACGTAATTATTGCTTACATGCTCTTGTTATTATATTGCCTTTGATACAATAGAAGTCTCAAGATAGCAAAATAGGCAGCATCCTCTTCAGTTCTCGTCTATGACATATTTGGGAAATCCAATATCCCCCTATCATCATTAAAGATTTCTTTACAGTATAATATATATATATATATATATATATATATATATATATATATATATATATATATATATATATATATATATATATATACTATGATGAAAGATATGTGGTATTTAAGACTCAAAGAAAATATCTTATACTGTATGTATTTACTTCATTAGACACTTTAGTTCCTATTATTTAATTTTTTCACCATTTGATTCAGATCGGCAATTTTAAATCATGCTTAGTTTTAATTTCAATATTCCTGATTATGATCAGTAATACTGTTATATACTTGTAATATAATTATTGCCCATTTGGAACAGCAAATAAAATAAATGTATACAAAACAATAAAAAAAAAGTCTTCTACCATCGCCATCTATCATTTATATTCTACTCAAATCTGTCTTGAATAGATTTCCCTAGCGATAAAATCACTTGTTTTATTTTCGACTTCTTGTAATATTTTCGAATAAGAAATCTCACTGTCCTATATATAAAATTTGATTTTAAGTAATTAAAGAGTTTATACTCTTATTAGAACTTTTAAGATTATTAAACAATACAAATTGAAGTTATTTTGAGAAATTGTATGTCAACCCAATAATTTAAAGAAAAAAAATAACTTGGATTCCAATGTTTCGGTAAGGGGTGGTACCGAAGGCCGGAGTTTATTCCTGACCCAGCAACAGGACCGGCCCCACGGATCTCGATTCAAAGTCCCTAAAAGTTCGTCATTGGCTCAAATCTAGGCCTCGCTGATCATGTACTGTAACTTACAGTACATGATTAGTAGTATACTTACAGTCTGTAAGGCTTTCTTGGTCGTAAACCTCATAAATGTTATATCTTATCAAACTTATATAATAAACAACTGCTAATCTTTCTACTATATATACTTCGGAGATTTTCCTTACTAAGTACAGTACGGGGTTCTTTAATAAAGCGTATTAAGATTTTTTCAAGGTCGGTAACGCGCATGTGACATACCTAGTTTTGCAGGCGGGAGGGATAGGGGTTTTTAGGTATTGTTGTCTAAAGCTTCAAAAAAAAAAACAATTAACCTCCCTGGGTTTTTCTTGGGAACTATGGTGGTTAATTCTTATTGAATTCATCACAATAGGCTAGGATGACTTGCTTTCATCGTCACTTATCATCAGTTACTAGTAACCAGCCAACGTATACCGAGACCACGGATGGGGTTATTATTCCATTTTTATCCATAAAATAAAGTATTGCAGGCTGCAAAGACCGTTTACCATCAGACATATGATGATAAACAAAATAAACAAGCAGACGGATGTAAGCTTGTTTACTATTTTCGCGGCATAAAAAATAAAACATTTTAAACATTTAATTTGCTTATAATTATTAGTATAAATGTATCCTATAAATAATTTCTTCAATTATTCGATTTCCCTAAAAATATCCAAGATACAAAGTTTTTCCCAGAATTGTTGAATATCCAATTTGGCAACACTAAGTTAAGCGTTCAGCACAACGGTCGTTTCTAATGGAGACCCTTTGTGAGTTATTCATTACTACGAGCTCATTGACGGAAACACTTGAAATGTTCTCATAAGTGGAAAACTATTTACAATATTAAAACGTTTAAATAGTAATGGTTTAATTCTGTTTTATTTTTAACCACTATAAAATAAAGGAGGTTATAAATTCGCGAATATTTTTTTGCGATGTGACCAATAACCGATGAGATGTCGCGAATTTATTTATTTGTTGTTCTAATATTATTAATTTGGAGTGGCGACCTCGTACTGACAAACGTATTGTAAAACGACCCCTGACTTGATGACCCCTGACCTCAAATGCTTTGCAGGGAATCATTGGTTGCAGGTGCCTCAGGACGTTCTTTATGGCAATTATGATGATAATGATTACACAACATTATTGCAGAGTTTAAATTGATTTTGAAAATTCTTTTTACAAATAATATTGTTTTATTCCATATCAATTTTATCACGATTAGAATAACTTTCTTACGAATTGAAGTCTTCAAATGTTTTATTTTTATTGTTAGGAAGGTAAACGAGCAGACGATCCACCTGATGGAAAGCAGCTACCGTCGCCCATTAACACCTGCGACACTAGAGGAAATGCTTGTGCATTGTCGGCCTTTTAAATATTTGTTGCCTCTAAATATTTAAAAGACTTATGTATTTTAAACACATATCTATATATAATACTAATCATCATACTATCACGTCTTTAATGTTCCATGTGGTGATGTTTCGATTTTGTTTTTTATATATAGATCGAGTATAAATATCTCACATTAATTGTAATAAAAATAAGTAGGTACGAAATCCAATTAAAACCTTTTTTTTTTTAATTTGTAGATCTTTTAAAATGTAAATCCGTAACCGTAGGCGTCCAATAAATTGCTTTTTAAATAATGCATAAGCTATATTATTTTGTATGTGTATAAATTCAGCTGAATGCAGCTTAACATAAAGAGATAAAAAAATTATATTTATTAAATATTTTGTGTTTTGTTTAATATAATATAAAAAGGTACAATGATGACTTATGGTACCCAAACATGGTCCTATTGTTGTTCCGGTTGTTGTATGCAAAAGTTTCAAGTTACTCAGCGAGCTATGGGCTATGCTCGGAGTTTCGTTACGTGACAGAATTTGAAATGAGGATATCCCCAATAAAACCAGGGAGGGACATAGCTCGAAGGATAAACAAGCGGAAGTGGAAATGGGTTGGTCTCATAGCTCAAAGAATCGACAACCGATGGGAAGAAGGGTTCTTAAGTGATGACCCCGTACGGACAAACGGTAGATGGAGTAACGACCTCAAATGCATTGAAGGCTGATATGAAGATAATAAAAAAATATACAATAACTTGTGAAAGATAGAAAGGGCTTGTGACATACAATTTTTTAAATGTAATTCAAGGATAAAAAAAGTAGATAGATAGATACCTTTTATTGTTTTCTCCAAAAGATTACAATAAAACTTATTATCGATATATATATATATATATATATAATATATATATATATATATATATATATATATATATATATATATATATATATATATATATATATATATATAAAGTATTTCAAGTTTGAAACAGAAATGGAGATTTGAAACTTTTAATCATGAAATAATTATCTAAGACGGTTTAAAATTGACAACCATATCGGGTAATATGTATCCATAACCATATAGGGAAAAGATTTGAGTTTTTTATTTGTAATGTAAAAACCTAAAAATACCCAATCGATTTCGAAAAATTTTCACCTATTGAACACTACATTATCAGTGAGTGTTATGGACTGTATTTTATTTGCAAAAAAATAGAGATACAATAATGATAATTTATTAGTGCAAAGTCGGGGTGAGTAGCTAGTAATTTATACAATAAATTATATAATACAATAATAAATTATGTCTATTTATTATGAACTAAATCACGCTGTTAATTACAACTTGGTCAATAACAAACCTCTTCGACGATCTCAGGTCCGATTCTAAAGTAGACAATAGTCTCTTTAATTGCTTGTCAAATAGGTTTGCCTAGTAAATATGGCTGTAGTACCTCAGTTCTCAAACTTTTTTAGCGACAGGTCTCATTTAAAACATACATTTTTCTATTAAGACCTTAATTAGAAAAAAATACCTGTTATTTTTTTTAGTTAAAGTCATATAAAAATAGTAAATTTACATAACACTGTATTGATTATATTGTGAAATGAAACTTAGTTATATTTTTTCTTTATGTATTATATTTTTTTACAGTACATCACCGCTAAAATTTACTTTATTCTTTGAGTAGCCTTTTACGAGTATGTCTTCCTACTTCGTATTTTATAATTTTATTACTATATAACACGTACAGCTGATCGATTTTAAAAATACAAGTGGTATAAAGGCAAGCTGGTATAAAGGCAAGCTCTCCTTTTAGTGTGACTTGGTACATTTTTTCAAAGGGACTCCTTGGGCAAATATAATATGTACTGACTATAGTTTTTTTTATATCTGAAGCCATTCGCGTAGCTGTATCTGTGATAAGTTAATTAATTTTCAATTCAATAAGTATATTGAAGCATTTCACATATCAGTGAGATTAATTACGAATAAAAAAAAATCATGGTCGATTTATACTATGGTTTAAAAAGGAGTTCGAATGGCCTCATAGAAACAATTAACATCGTAGTCTGATCCGAACTGCATGTCGCTCATGAATGGCGCGGAACGTCCAAAAACAGATAGTTATTCCTAAAATTCAACGATAAACCTTCCATTCATTGGTAAACGATTATCGATTATCCGATATTTCAATATTCACAGTGGATATTCAAAAATGTAAACGCTTTGTAATATTAATACCGATTACTCACTCGAATTATAAAATTTTTAATCCGACATACAGAGATTTGTTTAATATATATTTCGTGTGTATTTGTCTAAGTAAATAAATGTGTACTCTGTTGCATAATTATCCATAATTTAATCGATAATGATAACAAACAATAATTTAAATAGCGATTGATATTGATTAAATTGCTTGCACTGCGCGAAGTTTTACGCAATGTAATCATTTTATAATCTAGTAATCGATAAATCACAGTGTTATCCTAGTATACCACCTCATTCTCCCGTTCCTTACCTGTACCTCTCAAAATATCACCAAAGCCTAACTGCGGTCGTCAACCAGCCTGCAATGCGTGGCAACTATTGGAAAAACGATCTAACTAACAGGGAGGTCTATATTTAGTAGTGAACAGATAACGGCTGATATGATGATAAACCGATGACAATGTTTAGATTAGTTATCAATTAATAAACAAAAAAACAAAAATACTATATCATCTTCTTCAATTATAATCAATTGTTATTATAATTGAAGAAGATGTATACAATATATACTGTCGATTATATAATCGATTTTTAGGTTATTTGTATCCTCACGGAAATTATTACAATTAATAATGGATACGCTAGCTAAAGGTACCGATTATTAATTGTTAATGAACAGTGTGGCTTTTTTCTAAAATTTCTATTTTATATCACAGCGTAATCTTCATTCTTAGGACCAATATTAGTGAAATTTTTAATAAATTTAAGTGAAAATGATTATTTTAATGTGTCATCGTCCATAAAACGGTAATTTTGCGAAATTATCAAATTAAAATTATGTTAAGAGATAGGTTTAGAGAAATAGCGCCTCAGAATCGATCTCAGTAAACATTTTCCTAATCCTTATGACTTATACTCGTACATGTTGCATGCAGGTATATCTAATATCTGAAAAATATTATAACAAATTTTGCATTTGAATTATAAGATAAGTGATACACGTATATATATGTGTAACATATACATAGATACTATATTCATTATAAAATATTTCTAATTCTGATGTGAAGTTCAGAAAAATGATACGTACCTTTACTCAAACACTCCTCGTCCTATATACGTCATACAGTCTTTATAATTCAATAATCTTCTGATAATGTTACATGTTTTGCCATAAAGTGTAATAATATACTACTTAATATTCTCTACATTTGTAAATCTTATAATATAATATTTAATATAGAAGTAATGCAAATAAGTATTATACGTTACAAAAGAGTAAAATATAAAGTAATATTAAATTATATTTTGACATTAGAAGGCAATAATATGCGACATGCAAGTAAGCAAAACTTGAATCAACACTAAGCCGGATTATTGTATAATAAATTTGTGGAAGTAAGAAATTCCTTGTACAGTCACGAATAAATTTAATGTAAACACTTTATTACTTTATTGAATAAACCATTTATTGAAGTAAATGATTAAAATCGATCTTTAGAATTGTCGGCAGAATCTTTAAATAAATAACCAAAATGCTAACATATTTATCGTTATTATCTTACAATAACGAATTTAAACATGATTTTACAAGTAGAGACTTGAGGTGTGCCAACCCTTAAAGAGAGGGGGGAAAGGGATTGTTAGTAATGGAATCAAATAGTCCCATTACTAGCAATATACCCTGTCAAGTCGACTTCCACGTGGATCCTCCTGGAAACCATCGTGACTAATTTTAGTTGAATTCGTCAGGATAGGCTAACTGACCTAATTTCATCCCCATCAGTCATCTATCACTGGTGCCCTGCTAGTGTATACCGATAGTGTAGACGGGGTTAACATACCATTATCACCTATTAAAAAAACCTTAAAGAGAAAAAGACCTGTAAATGTTGTAATAAAAAAAAAAAAACTTCCAAAACTGTCAGTGTAAACACTAGCATTTATTTATAGTCTAGTAAAAAGGCAGATTCGCTTATCTAAAACTCCCACGTGTATGACCAAATTTAATTTTACGAGCTGTCAGGAAGAGTGTTGAAATACTTGTATGTAAATTCTGTGCCAACGGTCGTCGTCCTAAGAGACCGACATTGTAGTTTCATAATCGGATATTTTGACAGTAATGCTTTCGAGTTTATATTATACGGTTTTTTTACGGATTTCAATAGAAAAGAGAAGTTTCTTATTAAAAATGTTTATTTTATAAAATCATTTTATACTCGATATCTTCTTTACTTCCGTGTTGGTTTTATACAAATTTTGTTAAAATTAAAAAAAATATTTCTAAATATATAATATTGGAAATTTAATCAAGGATGTTTAAGATAGCCTTCATTAAAATTGTGTTTACATTAATAATATTTGAAGGAAGTAGGATAATTTATTCTACTATCACTAAAAAAAATATAATTTTATAAGAACGTTTGAATGAATTTAAAAGAAATATGTTTGTATATTGACTAACCATGCTTGGATTGATTTTATTCTTCTTTTTTATTCTATTTGATGCAGAAAAATCTATAGAATATAGCTAGATATATAAAGTTTGATTAAAATGTAGTCAAAGGGATTTTAAAGCATTTTTTTAAAGGAATTTTGTATTCAAAACTTGAAAGGAGCCCAAGTTGATAATCTGATCAACGAAGCGAAGCTACTGAGGCTTGCTAGTCTATATAGATGTATAAATAGAATTTAATTACTCGTTGAGATTTAAAATTAATTTTGTAATAATTATCAAAATTAGTTTTTTTTTATATACCACGGTGATGGCCATCAACCCGCTTGATGTTAAATTCTGTGGCTTCGGTCCATAGATCATAAGGTGTACGTCTATGGTCACAACTGTGAGCTGAAATGTTTTTTTTTTTTTGCTTCGTAGACATAGTATATACATGCTAATTAAATCTAATCTATTCACAGATACATTTAAAATTCCTGTGGTTTTTTTTTTTTTTTTGGTTAATATTTACATATTTCGTTACTATAATTTATTGATTGATAATAATAAAATGTAGTTTATATATTTTTCCAAACTTTGTGATACTTGGATGATATGTTGAAAGTAAAAGCTAATAGATAGGTGTACTTTTCATCCTCTAACCTCGGATCCTTCAAACGTATCGTGAAAAAACACTTAGTGAATCAGTATAGTGCGACTATCCGTTGTAACTAGAACATTATCTTTTTGATTGATCGGATTATTGGACCATATTGTCCCTATATTCAGAACAGTGTGTTTATGTGTTATATTATTATAAAGAACAAATAAATAAACTAACTTTTATATTTATATCATCAATTCTTTTTTTTTATCTAATAATAAGTGTTACACAGAGAATGTATCTGAATGTGTCTACGCTGTCATTTATTTATTTTCATTTATTTATTTAGGTTCACCAACAATTGTTTCCACAAGATAGTGTAAGTATTTATACAATCATGGAGTTTAGAAATAAGTGTAACAATTTTTTATAGGCAATTAGCATATATTAATACTGACAATTAGTACGGAAAAAAGCAAATATATACAGCTTATAACTATTATTAAATGCTTAACAACTAAAGCCACCATATCCATAAACAGATTTAGCAATACGACTCTTTTTATACATTTATAGACATTTCGTACAAAAGCATTTGGACTATCAAAATTAATATCGACCTGGTCACTGCAGCTGTTTATAGTTTTACAGAACGTTACCTGTCCTATTGTATATTGTGGTGAGAGTTAAAATAATTTATTCCTATTTTATTCTAATTAATATTCTACGTTATATAATGCATACTTAAATATGTGATGAGTTATTAAGTACAATACATTAGCGGGGTAAAGTCAGTGGGGGTACTCTTGGTATTCCCTGGGTACACCTCGTAATATGCAAATATTGAACGATTAATTAACCAAAATGCTACCTTCTATTTTGCAAGCTCCACGAATACATGAATAAATTATTACTTCTACTTAAATGTATAATAATGTAGTTTCATGCTTGATATCGATCACCTGAATTTTTTATCGCTTCAGTCTAGTAAAATGTTAAAAGTTCGTATACATTTAGACTTTCAGAAAATGTTTTTTAAATGTACTTTATCGTTCAATTTGTAACGTTTAATTTTTAAAAAGTGGAAAGGTTAATTTATCTTATTGGATTTTTCTTAAATATATAATAATTGTGTTTCTTTTTAAACGACTCCAAAAAGTAGGTTTTCAATTCAGTCGTATTGTTTTATGTTTGTTACCTCATAATTTAACAGTTCAAAACCTTTTTGGACAATTTGTTCTATATCTGAGAAAATATACTTAGAGATTGGTCCCATAGAAATTTTATCAAAATCGATTCAGTAGCTTAGTTTTCAGATCAAAATTTTTCTCATATTTGATGTCGGTTATATGTCAGACACATCCTTTATTGATATGGAAAGCGTAGAGTTAAAATAATCTAATTGCTTCCAACTTAATATAAAATATTTTCTATTCTCATCAAAATAACACTATCGAGGCGAGCTTATCTCCAAAAGAGATTATATAGCTTGTTTATTTAGTTGTTTCTTTAAATTGAATGTTTAAAAGGTTTACTTAAATAAGCCATGAAAATTAAGAGTTTACTCGGTTCGCTCAAAGAAATCACTTCGGAAGTACTTGGCTTTGCCTCGTCCTTATGATATTACTAGGCCGTCAATTATTTTATTTCCTTTCTCGATGGTCATGTATTATTATGTAGACTAATAGTCCCTAGTGAAGTCCTTTTTGTAGTTTTATTTTATTACAAACCCTTACGACTCCCTTGAGATAAGATGAAGTGGCCCAATTTGTAACCATGAAACTACCTCTAAACGACGTGATGCAATAAAATTATATAAGTGAATT